AAGGGGGGGAATTTCTCATTTTTGGAAACTCAGAACTTAGAAATTTAGTGAAATTCTGAAAATTTTCAATTTTGATCAGTGCTTTTTTACATTCGTCGGTAGCTTCTAAATATATATAAATAAAAATGCAAATGTTCATTTGTTCAAAATCTTAAATCTCCGAAAGTTCTTCACCGATTGCTTTGAAGTTTTGACACAACGTTGCATTCGAAATCACGCGTGTTTTTATATACCTATATACCTACTATTATATAGATGTCACACCTGTGACAGGTAAAAACATGCTTTTTTTGAAAAACAGCGCCATCTGTTGGACGTAAAAGCAACACACGCTATACTAAATATTTTACGATTCCATTTCAATGTTTCTGTTTACAATTATAAATTGTAGATAAAATTAACCACAGATATGCGTGTCCAGCTGCAAAACGATCCATCAGCTGAGATATTCTCACATCAATTGCTGGGAATTGGGAACGGAAAGGTGCCGGTTGATCTGACCTCAGGACGAATTTCATTGCCTCATAACTTCTGCAATTTAGTGGCGTCAAAAGAAGAATTGGTTGAAAAAGTATTTCCCAATATTCAAACCAATTATAAGAATCACGATTGGCTGAGTGAACGAGCTATTCTTGTGGCCAAGAACAAAGACGTCTACAACTTAACAATATTATTCGGTCTAACATTCAAAGCGAGGCAGTCACATACCAGTCCGTCGACACTGTTATGGAAGCAGTTGAAGCGGTTAATTATCCAACAGAATTTTTGAATTCACTCGATCCGCCAGGGATGCCACCGCACGTACTGCAATTGAAAATTGGCATGCCAATTATCATGTTGTGAAATATCAACCAGCCAAAGCTTTGCAACGGCACGCGGCTTGCAGTAAAAAAATTAATGAGCAACGTCGTAGAAGCAACAATCTTGACAGGACCTTTCAAAGGTGAAGATGTCCTCATTCCTCACATTCCTATGATTCCAATGGATATGCCATTTCAATTTAAGAGATTGCAATTCCCAATTCGATTGGCGTTTGCAATCACCATCAACAAAGCTCAGGGCCAATCTTTAGAATTGTGCGGTTTAGATCTAGACATGGATTGCTTCTCACATGGACAATTATATGTTGCATGTCCTAGAGTCAGCAAACCAGACAATCTCTATATCTGCACAGACAATGGAACAACAAAAAATATTGTATACCCACAAGCATTGTGAAATTAAACATATTAGGAACGTGCAATTTCTCTTTTCTTTCTTTTCCATTTAACCGGACTGAGCCATAGCAACGCGTGGCCGGGTACAGCTAGTTAGTAATATAGAAGGATATCTAAAATATGCCCATTCTGTAACTGTATATGAATCTCCCCTTGACTTTCTGACCAAACCATTTGGGAATCTGTAGATTAAGGAGAATTTGTTGTCTTGACTATGCTTTACTTGCTTTGGATGTTGCTTTTCTCTTCTTTGTAACCATGTCTTGTATTTCTAGTACTGGAAACAAATGGCGCTCCAGGAGAAAAATGTTAACACCCACTTTCCATTTTACCATTCTGGAAGACTTCTTAGATGTCATGAATGAACAAGCCAACATATTGGTTAATAAGCTTGAAAAACATGTTGATGGAGAAAAATTTAACTGCTTTTTTTACATCACTCTTTGTGCCTTAGATATAATCTGTGGTAAGTCTCATTGATTTGTTTCTAGAACTACGGTGTAAACATACAATGGCCCAAATAGAAAATAACATTTCACTGGGAAGGCAAATGAAGGGGTTAGAAAGGATATTGGCTTCTTTGGGCTGGTCCTTCTGCTAAATTAGGCTCCTGAGAAGCAGTACCCACTGCTAGGGCTTGGAGCAGAGCCAACCTGCCAGGAAGGTCAGAGGGAAGAAGGAGCATGAACAGGGAGTAGGAGAAACTAAAGGTGCAAGAGTGAAAGGGGAAAGGAACAATTCTAAAATATATAAGAATTTATGTCTTTTTTGAAGTGTTTGCCACTGGAAAATAAACACAA